CACTGTTCATAGCCATTAATGTTTACTGTTTGCACCTGCAGATATTCATTATTTGCCTCTACGAATCTTCAATGAGTGCAACTCCGGAGCATGTTAAGCATTTAATGTTCACCCTTGTCCTGTGCTTACTAGGTTCTGCGTGTCTGTGAAAAGTGAGAGTTACGTAGCAGTGGTGGATGGCTGCGGGGCCCCTGCACACCCCGGCTACACGGTGACATTCTTTCCGCCCGTCGTGCTTGTCAACCTGCTGCCGTATGACGTAAGCTACTATGTGAAGCCGACGCGCATCCGCGGAGAGATCAAGCCTGGTCGCAGCGCCGCGCTCACAACGGTGAGTGCCAGGATACATGTCTGTTGTTATGTCTCCGTCGGAAGAACAATCACTACGTAATTGTATACGTTTAATACTGGTTTAATAACTCAAAACAATAGTTTACAACTTGAACACGGCATTACAGCCAGCAAGGCTGGAGCGGCCACAAACGTGTCTGCGCGTAGCTCGCGCTGCTAGCAGGTGCCAGCACAAAGAGAGCTGTTACACACACCTGCTGTGTTGTAGAATGACCTACATACTCAAAGCCATTTTTGCAGACAGCTTGTGCGGTGACAACAACTTAATAAAATAGCGTGATTTGTATCTTCTGTGATCGCAGTCATGCTAAGGCTTGATATCACAGTGGGTGGTGGACCAATGTGATCGTCGCTAATTCCTGATCAGGACGTTTTATCCCCTGGTCACGAATGATGACCACAATCCATGATCACGATAATCGTCACTAATGCTTAATCACGATTTATGACCATAGCCCCTGATCACGATCTGCCGCTATACGAAAGAGTAGTCATGATTGTGTTGTTGTGCTGCTGTGCAGGTTGACATCAGCAAGGACCTGGAGTTGGGGCTGATGCTAGAAGGTTTCCCAAACTGCAAAGAACTGCTCATCCCGGTTGGTACGACGAACTACGTCGTGCGCATGCACTTATACGACGGCCTTGGGCGCGCCCTGATGCTGAATGCCCGCATTGCCGCCCGCAGAGGTGGCTCCCTCAAGGTGAGCATTGAACCAAAGTTCGGGTCTGTTGTCAGAAACATCGCATCATCAAGTCTAAAATGTCATTCATGGCTTTTGAAGTGAAGTGTTTTGCTAACGTAATGACTTAGAGTTGAAAAAGTGTTAAATAAGTGAAATAAGAGTTAAATAAAAAGTAATTTAGAAAAGTGTGACTTAGACTTGGATGGGCCCTTAACGTACTAGTTACAAGTGGTAGGCAGAGAACGTCAGGTATGGTGTGGTACATAGCTTTTAGAATATTGTATTAAAAAAAATACTGTATTATATGATTTATAATATATTTCAATACCTGGTAGCCGCAATCAATAACATTCAACCGATTATCTTCGATCCTCGATGATCGATGATGAAATTCCAACCTATATTGAATAGATTTTATCAATTTAATATTTTGATAAGATCAAACTAATGCATCTAATGTTCTGTTCCGATTCAGGTTTCAGTGTCAGCACTCTACTGGCTTGTCAACATGTCTGGACTGCCACTTGTCTTTAAACAAGATGGTGTCAGCAAGGAGGCGGCTGGGCAATTTGAGGAGCACGAGATCGCTCGCAGTGTGGTGCCACTGCTGTTCTCGTTTGTAAATAGTGAGGCACCCAACATGTGCACGATGCGAATCGGCAAGCAGCAGCACCGTGACAGTGTTCCAAACTGGTGCCAGAGGTTCCCGCTGGAGGCCGGCACTGGAGTCAGGCAGCTGCACGTTGTCTCGCCTGACCTGCGGCGCCCCCACTGGGTCTACAACATCGGCATCGACGTGCACGCGGGCAGAGGGCGCTACCGTGACACGAACATCGTCACCTTCGCGCCGCGCTTTCAGCTTGACAATCAGACGAACCACAAGCTGGAGTTTGCTCAGCGCGACGTTCAGAACGAGGGCAATGCTGAGCGCCACCTGTCGGCCATGCCCAAGAGTAACCTGGCCTTCCACTGGCCGAGAGCCGACAAGGAGCAGTTGTTGCGCGTGAGAGCCTGTGATATTCCAGGTTGGTACTCTGATGATCCTGTGATACTCACGGTGTCATGTAGAAACTCAACATACAGCTATTGCTTGCAAAATTGATATATGCAATTTTCTGCCCGTACCTCAGTAATTAAGTTTCAAAATCACTCTATATATGCAAAGTAGTTTTATAGTTTTCCCATTAAAATAATAAATTGGAAATTTAAATAAATCTCGTTTGCATTCGCAATCATTTCCATTCTGCAGGCTGTCTGTGGTCTGGGGGCTTTACGATCAACCACCTTGAGTCGTTTCACGTGAACATGCGTGCCAAGGATGGACGCTCGCACTTCCTGCGTGTCGAAATTCTCACAGAGGGACCGACATTCTTTGTGGTGTTCTCGAACGCGGATGATGTTCCACCACCATTCCGCATCGACAACTACTCCGATGTCCCCATACAGTACTGGCAGACGAAGGTACGTCATTTTCTCTACGTGCATGATTTGATGCATATGTCCATTATTCAATTCATGTCCGTGTTACGTGGTTTTGGAAGTTGCTAATACGGCTGTAATGTGACGCTGATCTGAGATTGAGTTAGGCAAAAGTATGTGGCATTTTCATTTACGTGTGTGCATGTGCACGTCTGTGTGTGTATATATCTATCTATCTATCTATCTATCTAAATATATATATATATATATACACCAATTCTATAAACGTCCTATTTTGAAGCACGCCAGTCGACGTACTTTCGAGCCAGGGTAATTTTTTAGCAAAAATGGGAATTGCCATTAGTCAGTTCAAGTTCAACGGATTATGATCATTTTCGGTATGTGAATGAATAAGGGCTAGGGGTTTTGATATTTAAAAAATAATTATGCAAATTAGGTAGGGTTTGCCAATTATATAGCATATTATATAGACACAAACAGTCTGTGGTGTCACACTCGTCTGGTTCGTTTTACGAGATTTCATTGACAATATCTTTAATACAAAATTGGTATTTCCTCTCCACCCTGCCGATAAAATGTCTATATTAGAGTAAAGATTTACAAAACATGTCGGAACGCAGCATAACCTATTTATTTCAAACCCCATCGCTACAAAGCGGGTATAGCGCCATCTACGGTCACAAATTGTGATTCATTTTGGTTTATAAATTATTATTGCGATATACAGATGGCAATCATTTCTATAATGTACGTCGATGGTTGCTCAATTAAAACTGACTTCTTCTTACTCACTCATTTGTGTCCTTTTTTTGTGGTGAGCTACAGTGTCATTGACACATTTTCATTTATTAATTTCTCACCAGCAACAGAGATAGAGACGCTCACTCAGCTCGGATTTACCGAACCTGACTGCCAGATGGCGCTGCTTGCCTGTGGCGGTCATGTAGGCGATGCCGCAATGTGGCTGACAGAAAATGCTGTCTGCGTGGTGACGCACAATCCCCATGGATTCAAGATCGGCGTTTTGGAGATTGTCCATGTTGACCTAAAGGTGACTGGCACGTGTGGCATCTGCCTCATAGACGACTGCAAGGACTCAGATGTGCCACTAGCCGAGTTTAATATCAATGGTATGTCAGCATGTGGGTCAAACCCTCACAAGGTAGCTAGCGTGTGTGTAATTATTGTCTAGATTACATATGTTATTGACACACAGGAATGCACACACCTAGCTGAAATGGTGCTTACCTCTATATTATCATACCTGTGTAAATCATCTTAAAGAGATTCATGTTTGTGATAATAGACACCTAATGTTATTAGCATTATTGCATGTAAGATAATTAATTGCCCTAATATCTTTTCCTTCTTCCGAGTATTAGACATGCAACTGTTAGAGCACATAGGTTGGTGTTGTTGCTAGGTTTTCATCTGAACCACCACATGGAGCTCCAGCCTCATGGTGTGGCTAATGGTGCTGTCACCATAGACTTCTACAACAGGAACCTGTCTGGATGGGAACCAGTGCTTGAACCCTGGAGGTGCAGTTATATTACACGACATTCTAATATAATGTGTCAATACGTCTGCCATTTTAAAGCAACATGCTTCAAAGATATGCTGACTGACTGAGTTACTTAACATTTATTGTATCAACTAATTTATCTGACTGATTAACTAATTTAATTAATTTAGTACTGGTGAATGGGAAAATGTATGAACAGTTCGTGTGGGCTAGTTCGATGACACATTCCCTCCCTATACTGACTTAGTCATCTATGCTTTATTCCGTGATTGCTTATGTGTTAACAAAATGATGTGGCTAGCTACGAGTTTTGAATCAAAGTAGCTGCATTCACCTAGATATCCTTTACTTAGTAATAATGGAACTATGTTTTATTCAAAGGAATATACTCGGCCTAAAGAATAGGGTGACTACTGTGTTCTCGATTTGTCAATCAGTCAATTGATCCTTGATTCTCAGGACACATGTGACATGGCAGCAGCGAATGTCTGATGGCAGCAATGCTGGCAAGCTAGTCGTGGCTGTAGAGAGCAAGACCAACAAGCTGAATGTGAACCTAACCAGCAAGTTGCTGGAGCAATACAGCAGCACCAAGGACACATGGATGGAGGAGTACCACACTTTGGGCAAGAGGAAGTATGCATGTAGCTACTCACATATACAACTGCATAATGCATTTTAAGTACTACTACCATAAACACATGTATACTCAGTAGTATCAGTGGTAGTGGTAGTAGGTACTAGTAGTAGTAGTAGTAGTAGTAGTAGATCACAAACTGTGATTCATTTTGGTTTATAAATTATTATTGCGATATACAGATGGCAATCGTTTCTATAATGTACGTTGATGGTTTCTCAATTAAAACTGACTTCTTCTTACTCACTCATTTGTGTCCTTTTTTGTGGTGAGCTACAGTGTCATTGACACTTTCATTTTTCTATTCTCATGCCTACCCTCTCCTTCACATACATTTAGCATCTGCCTGACCATACTGTTGCAGATGCACCTGCGAACAAGCGTCCGAATGTGTTTACAAACGTGCTGCAGCCGACACGCATTGCCGCGGCAACGGGGGCCGGCGTGCAGACGCTTCAGGTGGAGGTTCACTATCGCGATACACTCGACTTTACACGCCTCACCGTACTGCTCAACAACATGCGTCTTATGGGCATCTTCGACTGGTTGCTGGCCATACAGGAGTTCATAAGCACGAGCGCAGACAACCCCTATGCTAGTGGTGAGTAGCTGTGGGGTAGAAATGTATTTTATGCGACTGATGAGTAAATGTGGGATAGGAATGAATCATAATATTTTTGCTAGTGGTAAGTTGGTGTGGGATAGGAATGAATCGTATGCTAGTGGTAAGTTGGTGTGGGATAGGAATGAATCATATGCTAGTGGTAAGTTGGTGTGGGATAGGAAGGAATCATATGCTAGTGGTAAGTTGGTGTGGGATAGGAATGAATCATATGCTAGTGGTAAGTTGGTGTGGGATAGGAAGGAATCATATGCT